CCTGATCAATGTGAAATAAGGTCTGGAAAAGGATTTTTTTTTTTTATTATTATTGCAAGAAGAATTTAAAAATATGTGTTGATTAATATTTGACTTGGATCTGAGATTGGGTGATTAGGTTTGTACAGTCAAAGCCCGCAGGATCAGCTTGTGTAGAGGACTAAACACAAAAATGCATTAATAAATCTCACACAAATTAAAGATGAAATGAGTAAAAATTCAAATAAAATTTATATTGTTTAATTCGTGTAATTAGCAAAGACAAAAAGTTTTGTCTTGTCTAAATAATCCAGAAATTTGCTGGAGTGAAAATTCCATATTTTTAAATAATCAAATATAAAAAACACATGTCACAATTAATTTAATTCATTAGTGTGAAAAATAGAAACTAAGTATATAGAGACACATTGATATATAAAAAGTAAGTTACAATTCCTTATTGTGAAATAATGTCAAATAACATAAAACCAAACAGAGATGCTACATTAAGCATTATAGTTAAGTTTACAAGGTTTTATATCAAGTGTTTGAATCGATTCAGGAAGACCCTTCCAAAATAAAAACAACAACTTTGTAACAAATAAAGAGCTCTAAAATTGCAATAAATAAATAAGCAAACAAAATTTATTTTAAAGGTCTACTGCATATAATATAGTGCAATCTAATGGCAAGGATGCTAATTTCCACCATTTCCTCTTTGTTTGAAGCTGCAAAACAATTTAAAAAAAAAGTCTTTCTGAAATTGATTTGAATTGGAGCAAAGAATGAGTCATTTTAATTTGTAAAAAAAAATCACAAACGGTCAAAGAAAGACAAGTCCAATATTTTTTTTTAATTCCCATTGAAAAACAAATATTTGACTAAAGTTTTTGTCACGTTTTAGCCACAGTCTAATAATGTAAAGGAATGTTTTTGAATTTGATGATATCTTTATGAGGCATTTTGCCATTTTTCTATTTTAATTTATCGTGGTATTCAGCGTCATCGCAAATGCTCATTGATTTTTAAGAAAACATGTTTCTATGCTAATTAAATTATAGCTTTTGATTAGATTTTTTTAAATGTCAGAGCATAAAAAAGTAAATTAAAAATATATGCTGAAACTTTACCTTTCTCCGATTCCTGGTGCACTTGAACACGGTTGATTAAAGCATGCAGTGAGTATCAGTATTATGTGCATGTTGTATTTAAACCACATGAAAATAAGATTGTGCTGTGATCCAGACTTGCTGTAGATATCATCTAACGCAGAACTGCTGCAAATAACATACACATTTTTATTATTCAGATCAAATGAAACTTGCAGTCACAGTGCTGACGTCGTGTTTATTCCACGTTTAAATGAGGTACACAGAATGATATGAGGTAAGAGAAATACTTCCACTGAGATCACCCAGGAAACTAGAACTACACAGCTGGGATAATTAGAAGAAAAAAAAAATGATTTGATCTTTAAAGCACCCTACAGTATATGCTCAATATTACATATTCTCGTGCAACCTTCAGTTCTTCTTTGTCAGCACACTTTGTAACGTGTGCAGAAAAATCCTGTCTATCTCAGGTCAACAGAGACATGTGTTCATAAAGCAATAATGTGTTTAAATATTTTGTACGCCAGAAACGATTGGCTACACGTTCGTTTTCTCTGAAACGTTTTAAATTTAGGAGGGTATTAAGGAGCTGTCGTCCTCTATGCTGCTCAGCATGGGACAATTAGCTGCCACTCTGATCATCATCATTCGGATAACAAAGACACACACACCAGAGATGGCCATCTTGTGGCTGAAAGTCACCCCCATCCCTCAGGGTGAGCCACAGACAGTTTATGAAGACATCTGTTCGGTGTTTCATTAGAGCTGATTCTTGTGTCATGTGGATATTTAGGGAACACGGTCATGGTCAGTTTCTTCACTCTGTCCCAGAGTCAAGCAGTCATGCAAAAAAAAGAGGAGAAGAGCAAAGACACAGAACAAAAGCTCTGTTGCACTGAAAAATACACTTAAAAAGTAGAGGTTTAAAAATCATTAAGAGAAGCATTTATGTTTTTAAAACTTCAATTTTTAACAGTCCTTTGCTTCAATTGTTAATTTGTCTGTTTACTGTATAATATCAAAGTCTTAAATAGATAAATATCTGTTTTTTAAGGATATGCAATTCTTTTTATAACAAAACAAGCACCATAACAGCGCTGCAACAGTGCTTAAGGTAATTAAGTAAGGTAATTTTGAAAGGTTTTGATCTTAGATGATAAAGAATTAAGAACTATTCGTTTATTTTCTTGTTTTTTGACTCGGCGGCGGCTGGTCATTTGTCAAACAGCAACTTTTCAAACTTCAACAAGAATGAACAAACACATCTTCTTTCTGAAGGTTAATACTTGGACCTGCTAGCTGCTGAAGAAGACCAAAAGTAGGAAAAGTTTGATTTGAGACGGCACAATCAGAAAATCTGAAAACAGGAAGCACATAAATTTGAACATTTACTTGTCTATACTCTGGGCTCTGTTTGGAATATTGATGCCAACAGGGAGATTAAATGAAGTCAATGTTTCATCTGAACCCAGCCTGTGTGCTTTAGATCAGATTCAAATGACTGAATTATCTCTTCAACCCGTCATCAAGTCCAGCAGAAACCTGTAATGATCCGTTAAAATAATTCAGGTGAGCTGAGGCAGAAAAACAAGTAAAACCATGAATGATCCGCATAAAGACTCTCTTTTTATGTTCTTCCAGGATGATTCTGAAATACTATTTGAGCATCATGTGTCAACAACGTAACGGTGCCAAAGTCGGAGAAATAAATGTGTTTCCAGAAGCCAAACAGCGAGTAAGCGAGCACCAGCAGAGATGTTAAGCTACATTTGTAATTCCTTCAGTCCCAGCAGACTCCACAGCCTCAGATCCTGCAGGCTAAACAAGTAAACAGCAGACAGTAAACAAAACAAATCCACTACAAACATGAGAGCACCCCTTCCCACCTCTACTGCACTGATGAAGAGATGCAGCCAGTCTCCTTCTTGTCATGTGCGGTTAGTCAGGTCATTCGTCAAAATGTCACCAGCAGCAGCAGGTTGATTCGAAACACAAAAGCCTGCTTTGGATTCTGTTCCCTGTTTCTGGGAGTACAGTAAAGAGTGCTGCAGCTGCCCATTGTCCTGTAATCACACACTTTGAGGGCTGGACTGGTCAAAGGGTGAGTCGGCGTTAACCTATTCAACGACTCATTGATTTTATTTGAATGGCTGAATAAGATTTATGGCCCATTAAAGACCGCCGAGTGGCCTCGTTTAAACTCAACACCTCTTCTCGTCTTTACTCACCTTTCTGCTCCGCTTCATAAAACAAACATCAATCAGTCCCTACAATGGCATAAAAGACACATGAGAACTAAATCTTTTTTTTTTTTTTTACTTTTAAAAAGTCAACACTAATCTTGACTTTCATCAAGTTGTTGTCACTAATTGCAGTTTGTCAGAATTTGTAGCATGTAATCAAAAATGCTTGTGAATTCACAAAAATGTAATCTTATCTACGCTGCAGCCACGAGATGTGTGCGATTATTTTTGTTCAGTCTGTGCTACATAATTATAGACTCTTGTTCCCCAGCAGCTGAGGCCACCAAAGGGTGCACAATCTCACAACTAATTATCTAATGAAAGCAAATTATTATCCACAACTCTTGTAGAATGCATCCATAATTACACTAGAGGTGTGTTTGGAACATGATACTGAGCTAAAAAAAAAAAAAAACACACACACGCATTGCAGAAACACACACACATACATTGAAGATGTGTTAGACAGGTCAAAGGTCACAGATGTCTGTACTTTTCTCGGAGCATTTTTATGTTTTGTGCATTTACTTGCATAATAAAAAGAGAAAGCGGTGAGGAGTTCAAGTTAAGCTTAAGGGATATAGACGCTCCCCCAGAATTTGTGGTAAATAAATTGGAACTGGGGGGATGGATACAGCAGATCAATAGTATATCTGACTGTTGCTGGCAACAATAGTCAAGTCAACTTTATTTATAGTGCATTTCATTATTTAATGGTTTATTTAATAATTGTATTGTATATTTAATGATTTAATGATGTATTTCATAATTAAATGATACATTTAATTGTTGTTTGTTTTATGTATTTATTTATTTCATTTGATCACATTCCGTCCTCCATACATTTTGACTCCTTATGCTTTATTTTATTATGGTAGTAACATCATGTTGTTTGAATAGCCAAAATTAGACTTAGCATCTGTGCTATCTTGTTCATGTCTGCAATTGCTATGGAAAAAAGGAAATAACGCTGCATGAAATGAAGCTAAAAAATAAAAAATAAATACTCCTGCAGGGCCAGATTGCACATTTTCCTAAAATATTTTTTAAATAGTTTTAATTCAGCAGCATTCTTTACAAGAGTTGTTTGGGTCAAAACCTGTTGTAAACCCAGTATTTGTAAAAACACTGTGAGGGCAGGGTCTGAATTTAATGGTTTTCCTTGAATGCAAAGTAAGTCTTACAATGTCAGATAGAAAATTCTGATTTCAAGTTATCCTGAGAAATAAAATCTCTGTGCATATCCCTTTCTGTGATGTACGTTGAGTATCTAAATCAGGATGTGGCTGCTTTGATTTTGTGCATAAAATTTCTCCTCAGTGCATCTAGAACTTGCAGAAATATTTTTAACCGTGGCTCAACGCACTGAAATGGTAATTTTAAGATGAAAAGTTCCAGTTCAGAACCTTTAGAAACAAAGTTTCTGCAAGACAAATGAAACCCATGATTGTACCCCACAGACTGCACTAAATCTTCCCCTCCACTCAAAGAATTTGTTTTACTGCTACTATACTCCATCATGAATCGCAGCTCGTATAATGGATTCAGCGCAGCCATTTATTCACACTACTGAATTTGGCTTTCTGCCACGTTGGTGGAAATTTCAACGTCTTTGCTTTGTACCACAGAAGGAACAAAAAGCTTCTGTTTCTGTCTTTGTGTGCAGATAGCTTGTCGCCTCCTGTCAATGTGACCATCAGAGAGGTGAAAGCGAACTCCGCCGTGGTGTCATGGGACATTCCAGAGGGAGACCCTGTCATCGGCTTTGCCATCACACAGCAGGTGAGTAACAGGAATGCAACATTAACTGTTTGCCTCTGTTTCAGAATATTGTTTCCAGCATCACTGCAAATACACTGAACAAAAAGATAAATGCAACGCTTGCTTTTGCTCCCATTTTTCATGAGCTGAACTCAAAAATATAATTTTTCTATGTACACTTAAGGTCTTTTTCTCTCAAATATTGTTCACAAATTTGTGTAAATCTATTCTGGTGAGCATTTCTCCTTTGCCAAAATAATCCATCCACCTGACAAGTGTGGCAGATCAAGATGTTGATTAAACAGCACGATTATTGCACCGCTGTGCCTTAGGCTGACCACAATAAAAGGCCACACTAAAATGTGCAATTTTATCACACAGCACAATGCCAAAGCTGTTGCAAGTTTTGAAAGAGCATGCAACTGGCATGCTGACTGCAGGAATTTTAAGAAAATGTTTAAAAACAACATATTCTCAGGCTAAAGAGATGTGGAAGGGGTTGGGGTGGAGTAATGGGTAATGTGATTAAGTAAAGGTTTAATAATGCATTGTTGTAAAGAAATCATACTGAAATTATAATATTTTGAAATACAGGAGAATAGGGGTAGGACTACATGTGATTCATCCTACTCCTTTTAAAACATTTTGTTTGATTTTCACATTGTTGCTATGCATCTTTTGTCTGAATTATTATGTTTGAAATACATATTTTTAATTAAAAATAAATAAATGTCCGTCAGAGCTGTTGTCCATGAATTAAATGTTTATTTCTCCACCATAAGCCATCTCCAAAGGCATTTATGAGAATTTGGCAGTACATCCAACCAGCTTCAAAACCGCAGACCATGTGTAACCATGTCAGCACAGGACCTCCACATCCAGCATCTTCACCTCTAAGATCGTCTTGAGACCAACCACCTGGACAGCTACTGCAACATTCAGTTTGCATAACCAAATAATTTCTGCACAAACTGATATAAACCATCTCAGGGAAGCTCATCTGAATGCTCATCATCGGGGTCTCCACCTGACTGCAGATCATCATCATAACCGATTTGAGTGGGCAAATGCTCACATTCGATGAAATAATGACACACTGAAGAGGTATTTTCTTCACGTATAAATCCCGGTTTTCACTGTACAGTGCAGATGGCAGACTGCGTGTAAGGCATAGCGTGGGTGAGTGGTTTGCTGATGTCAAAGTTTTTAATCGAGTGGCCCACGGTGTTGATGGGGTTATGGTATGGGCAAGCATACTGTATGTTATGGACAACGAATACAGGTGCATTTTGAATGCACAGAGATACCATGATGAGATCCTGGCCCATTGTTGTGCCATTCGTTCATGACCATCACTTCATGTTGCAGCATGATAATGCACGGCCCCATGTTGTAATTATCTGTACACAAACTGAAAACATCTCAGTTCATGCATGGCCAGCACACTCATTGGACAAGTCACCCACTGAGCATGTTTGGGGTGCTCTGGATCAGCCTATACGACAGCATGTTCCAGTTATTTTACAGGCCACAGCCAACAACCTGAACAACTCTATGCGAAGGAGATGTGATGCAATATGTGAGGCAGATGGTGGTCACACCAGATACTGATTGGTTTTCAACCAAGACTTCAAAACTCTTGGATTTTTGAGTTCAGCTCATGAAAAATGGGAGCAAATACAAAAGTGTTGCGTTGATATTTTTGTTCGTTGTAGTGTATGAACAGAAGACAACAGGTGCTATGCAAGAACAAAATGATCAAGGAAGTTTTGTTGTGTGTCATCTGGTAATCCCCATCCTACTACTTTGATGTATTGCTGAGATGATTCTGCTTCCAGTTTGTCCATTTTGCAAATGAATTCTCTGGGCTGTGTTTGCCAAGTTGTAAAAATTGAAAGATCAATCAAAACAACACAAAAGCTCACTTGGCAATCGGTAGTGGTGGCGTCACTTTTGGCACTATGTGCAAAACCTGTAACAACTTTTTTAAAAAGCTTAATACTCCAGATGTTAGTTAGCTTTAAAAGGCCCGTTTAGTCTCATTTGAAGGCGTTGATTTAATTCCTAAAACCTAATCTCTGTATTTTGCTACAACAGAAAAAAGATGTGCGCATGCTGCGATTCATCCAGGAAGTCAACACCACCACACGCTCCTGTGCGTTATGGGACTTGGAGGAGGAGACGGACTACATTGTGCACGTTCAGTCTATCAGCATGTCTGGGACGAGCCCGCTGAGCGAACCGCTGCGCTTCCGAACCCCGAAGGAAACCGAGACCCAAGCCTCTAAGAGCAAAGGTGAAGTGGCCGAAGGACAACACTCACATACACAAGCCAAAATACACTCTTGTTTAGCAATCTAGCTGTTCTACACTTACATGAGAAATAGAAATCTGTTTCAGTCCATTTTTTAAAACATAAGTGCAGAGGGGACTTGGCCTTTTGACAATATAGTGACATATTTTGGCTAAAAACCAAAGTAAATCAATAGACACACAAAGCATGAAATGAAATTTCACGACAGAGCGCCTCAACTCTCCGATTCTGATGACGACTCAGGAGCAACGCGCCTAAAGGGGGTGCATACTTCACTGTTTATTGATGTTCCCCTGCAAGCCTCACTCTGTATGCAGCCTGCACAGCTGCACTGTAAACCAAAATGAGGAAAGGCATTTATCAGACAGGGAGGAGGTAACAGGAAGCTTTAAAGGGTGGAGAATCGATGTGTTTTTTTGGCTGAAGCACTGCTCCATCCATCCCTGCTCTCATTTACACTCATCTCTCTTATGAGCTGCCGCCATTCTTCAATACTTCACAGTGAGCAGAGCCAGGGGGAGACTGAACTTCTGCTGTGGTGGTGTAAGTGGGCTGCCAGGAAACGCGTAGAACATAAAAACAATCACCGCAATACAGGGGAGGGATGCTCCGACGGCCGCTGAGGCCTAATTATACACGATTTGTTGTCACTGCGTTTTATCTTCAGCAGGGGAAGAAATTAGAGAAGTATATTATGGCACAAGATCAGAATAAACTCTTTTTTTCTTGTATTTTCCTCCCTTTTGTGTTTTTTGCATGCATGTTTCATTTGAACTTTTTTGTAACTTTTGAGTTGTCTGTACACAAAAATATGCAGAAGTGCTTTTAAAATATAAAAAAAAGGGTTTGATTTAAGGTGATAAAGGTATAACTTGAGTTTGTAATCTTAACAACATCTTGTGTAAATATGTAAACATCACAGATCTGTGGCAAAAATTAAAATAAAAAGCACATTCTACAAATAACCAAGAAAATGAACATGAACTGAAACAAGACATCAGAAAGATGCTAAATTAATTTGCGCTGGCCATGTGTTTACTTTTCATATCGGCTTTGTTGCTATGTGAGACCATTTTAGCATAAAATTCTGTAAATTGCTTATCTTCGTAATAATACTGTAAATGAGGCGAAAACAAGCTGAAATCATTACCTTTGATAAAGTTATTCAAATGTGTGGAAAGAGAAGAGTTTGTTATTTTATCAGATCATTTCTCAGTACAGCTGTTGTGTCGATAGGCTGGGCGAACATCCCGAGAATAAAAGAGAAGTTTTCGCCTTCCTCCTTCGGCTGTTCAGCCTCAGTTCTGCCAGATCACATTGATCTCAGCTGAAGGAGCCAAGGACGAGCCTGAAATGCCAGATTGTTCTCATTTCATCTTTCAGGATGGGTTTAACCTGCAGAAGATCAAAAGAAGCAAAGGAGTAGACATGCAGTGTAGCCTGAGAAAGCAGGAAGGAGTGACAATGAGTTAGAAAGAGGAACAAGGGAACAGGAAGTGACTGACAGAGGAGATGGTGCAGTAAGACAAGGGAATAACAATTAAAGTTGGCTGTCAGGAGCAAACAGACCGTCTGTTTTCACACATGTGCACTCTCTCTGGGAAAATGATGCTCCAACGTGGACAATAAACTGTGCTGTAAAGAAGACTGATAGGTCGTCTCAGATCTAATAAAGGAGAAACATCTCTCTTTGGTACTGTAAGAAAAAAAGCTTATTTTTCTTCTGTCACACAGGATTTTCATCTGTACATCAAAGTTGGGCTTCAGTAAATTGCTGTAAGATATTTCCCCATGACATCAACTCAGCTTTGAAACAAATGCGCCAAACTCCTAAAGGAACAAAAAGGAGAAATCCTCTGAGGCTTAAAAACTGTATTTAAGATTCATTTGAAGTATATTCATTTTTTTTTTGGATCCTTTTAATGAATGAGTCTAAAAGAAACAGAAACCTAACCAGCGTGTCTGCAGGCAGTCATTTTAAAATTCAAAGTCAGACGTCTGGGTTGTTGGGGGGGGGAGGGGGAATCAACAGTGCTCTTGAAATAAATTGAATCCATTATTTCTCAAAAACGTTGAGCTCTTGCTTTATAGCTGCATTTAATGCCACAGAAGGTCAGCATCTGGTGAAACCACAGCATCTTGTAGAACTCCATCAGAGAGCATCAGGAGTGTTGCAGCTGACTTGTTTGCCCCAGTAAGGTCACCCAGGAAAAAAGCATTAGGTGCCCGGAGCTGTTGTGCTTTGATTATTTAATTCAAGGCAGCAGAGACCAATCGATTAGCTTGTTGCTAAAAGCTGCTGGAGCGTGGGGTTCCTGCACACAGGGCCCTTCAAATGTCACTGTGCCTTCTAGTAAAAGGGTGGAATGCTCTCTATGTTGTAGTAAAGTTTAGGAAAAGGCTGCTTGTTCAGTATCTGAAGGTATTTACCGTATTTTCCAGCATATAAGTCGCTACGGAGTATAAGTCGCATCAGTCAAAAAAAGCATCATGAAGAGGAAAAAACATATATAAGTCACTTTGCAGTATAAGTCGCATTTATTATGCATCACCGCTGAACCCTGGGAAACGTGGGCGTGGGTCGTGCCAAAAATCGATTGGATGCCACAGGAGCGTGCACAGAAGGACTCGCTGTTGCAGTTCTTTGAAATTTAACAAGACTAACACGTAAAAACAATTGTTTGCTCGACATTATAGCAAAGATGTGTCTCAGTTTAACTTTTTCCTTAATAAATGCACTTTGATGGTCAATGTTAGGTGGGGGCAGCTGGGGTGGCGGTACAGGAAAAACATTTACGTCTACCGGTAGTTATCAAAAGAGGTCCTCTCGCGCCTCTAGCAGCTGCAAATGGCAATGTTTACCCTGGTTCATGTCAGTGTGAATGAACATTTAAAACGCCAAAAATTGCATTATGAATATGGAGAAAAAAAACATATAAGTTGCTTCGGTGTATAAGTCACATGACTGGCAAATCTATGCAAAAAACTGCGACTTATGCCGGAAAATATGGTGCATTCATTCTGATGCTCACAGTTGAGCTTCTCTTGCCTTTATGAGTCAGTGTCATTACAGCTCTGCAGCTGTAACTAAAGACAGGAGAGGACATTGGCAGATTTGTAAAAGGAAAAAGCCCTCAATTAAAGACACATTTATGGAATAAGACAGCTGTGAAATATATGAAAACTCTGCAGTTTGATTGCTAGAGCTGATATGAATACAGATTCTGAACATCAGATTCTGTCGGGGGGGGGAGAATCTGTTTATGAAACCCCAAAAGGATCAAATAGTAGTTCAGTCAAGTCTGCTACAGCACTGACACGTTCAAAGCTGCAGAGAAAAATCTAAGGGCAGCCCTGCAGAGAACCAAGAAATACCACTGTGAATAGTTTATGATGAGTTGGGGAGGCTCACAGCAATTATCAGGCTGACCAGCTCTGAAAAACCAACACTGAATCTGGATTCTGTTTATTAATTTTAAGCCCATCCTCACAATTGTTTTTCCCATGAAGCATTTGTCACACAAGCACAATTTCCTAATGTAAAGTTCCTTATTTCATCCTGCATGTTTTTGATCCTTTATGCATTTTTAGCGAATCACATGGACAGCAATGTTTTTTTTTTCTTCCAAGTATGGCTTTCTGATGGTGTAGTGACTTTTAAGTCTTATAAAAAATAAAAATCTAAACTTTTCTGTAGTTTAGATACTTATTTCCCTCGTTGCTTCTGAGATTTTAACACTCCTTATTCTTGTTACAATTTTTCTGATGTTAATTAATCAAGAAGATTAAAAAAGAGCTTTTATGAATTGGTTGAGTCCAGTCTCCTTCCTGGTGATTTCGGACCATTTTCATGTGGAATACAAATAACCATTTTCCTGATATCTTCTCCACGAGTGTCATTGGGGACTTTCACAATGATTTGTAAAGATCAGACTTTTTTAGCAAAAATATATTCATGGGTTATATATAAATATTGTAAAAATTTTAAAGATTTTTATCTTTTCATTCATGTCTCCATTTTATGCATCCTGCATTCATAATCCATTTTACCTAAAAACAGGGGTAGTCAAATATTTCTCATAATTTTAAAGTCGGAAGAAATTGGTGATTATTAATACAATCAAAGCACGTTTTATTTTATTTCATCATAATGTGCATTACATTTCAGACAAGCAAATTTGTTACAAAAAAGAAATTTGTTTTAGTTTAGCTCTAAAAGCACATTACTGGAAACAAACTGATGAAAAATCTGATCGTTCAAACCTATTTTGTCACAAAATAGCAAAGAAATGTTGACAATCATCTGTCAAAACAGACACGTTTAAGATTTGCTTTGCTATTTTCGGGTTCTCTATTTGGAGGTTGTAACCAGTGCAACAATAACTATAGTACATTAAAGTCAATGCAATTTTAAAACCCCTCTTTTTACAGCAGAGAGATCCATTAGATGGTTTTATTTCTCTAATTGTGAGTAGAAAATATTGATATACCATGAGCTTGTTTTAGTTGAATTGAGTCAGAGATTTTTCTTATATCCTGTCATGAACAAACACACTAATGCGGCTTTCTTCTCCCCAGAAGCTCATTGTTTTAGTCGTAAATCTAATGTGTTGGTAAAAAAACTCGTTCAGCAAAACATGTTGATGATTTTATAGCCTTTCATTTGCCGCTCAGAGTCAGTAGCATCCAAACAGGCCTCAAGATTCACATTCAGGTCCAGAACATGCAGATAATGTAAAAACATTAGCACTGATGGTTGTGGAAGAGAAGCATCACCAACAGAAAGTTCATTGTTATCCATTATTATTTATTATCGGCTAAAATAAAGTGAAGTTGTTTTAATGAGTTACGTGCTATTTTAATGACAAGATGGTTATTACAGTCAATTTCTCCAATGTTTTCTGGTGAAATAGATTTTATTTTTTTTAATAATCCATGTGCTGTTGCTGATTCCCTCTTTCAGACGAAGTGACAATGGAGGAAGTAGGCCAGACGACCCAGCTGAGAGCAGGGGAGCTCATTATAATTGTGGTGGTACTTATTATGTGGGCAGGTGAGGACAAGTTATATTTTAATAAACCCGGACCGAGCAGGATTCATTTAGTCTGTATTAACTTTGCAGAAAATAATAAACGGAGCCGCCATAATCTCTCCTCCCAGGTGTGATTGCCCTCTTCTGTCGCCAGTATGACATAATCAAAGACAACGAGCCCAACAACAACAAGGATAAAGCCAAAAACTCCTCAGAGTGCAGCACTCCTGAGCACCCTTCAGGGGGTCTGTTGCGCAGTAAGGTATAACCCACCCACCCCTTCTTCCCCTCCTCCTCTTCTATGGGTGCCTCTCCCCCTTCAGCGATGCTGGGCAGGTGAATGGTCCCGGCCACTTCTAGACTTTTTTTTTTTTTTCCCCACTGACACTTCATTAACCCTCACAGTGTCATCTGAGCGTCCGCTTCAGGCTAAACAAGGTGCCATTACGTGCATGACTGACTCAAGTCATAGCTTCTTGTTCTGTTTGGATCAATACACAAAGCCTCATATCATGCCCATATGAGCAGAGAAAAAAAAAAACATATAATAGTCAGTACACTGCAAAAGTCTTGAGTTATCTCTCATTTCTTTATGTTTTGCTTCCAGTGAGACGTATTTTCTTGTAACACTTTAAGTGGATCTTAGCAGCCGAAGTCCAAAGAAAGCCAGAACTGTTAAGCAAGACCACTTTACAAGATTACGAGAAAGTTTCACTCCGTTGGAAGCAAAGTTTAGAGATTATGGGGTGGATTAAGACTTTTGCACAGCTCTTTATTCCTTTCACTCTGTCGTTGCAGCCATCAACAAAAGATCAGAGGCATTTCCATGCTTAAGTTTTTTATTCGTACAATTTTTCTTGATGTAATTGTCTCATGTTCTTTCACTCAGCAGGTCCATAAGAACAACAACAGGATGACATCTGTCAACATCATTGAGGTGTGACCGTCTTCACTTCTCTCAAAAGACTTCAGCGTGAGCCCGTTTTAGGCCCGTCATCCACTTGTTGCAATGATGCTGGGACCTCAGTCCTCCTGGTGGAGTCGTCCTCCTTTAACATGAGTCCTCTGCTGAGATGACGTCGTACGACTCAGGGGGTCGAGCTCGGGCCTCTCTGAGAGAGGAGTCGGCAGAGGAGAGAGTGCTGGAGGAGAGAGTGCTGGAGGAGAGAGTGCTGGAGGAGAGAGTGCTGGAGGAGAGAGTGCTGGAGGAGCTCGGCGTCTGTTCGGTGCTCAGTGAGAGAACTGTGGTAGCAGTTAACTGGTCCGCTCTGGAGATGCTGCAGATAAACCGACCCCAGGGACCAAAGCCGATCAGCAGACCCTCTTTACTCTCCAGGCTCTTTTAGACCATCATCAACCACAAGACATGGATCTTTTGTCTTTTCTGGGTGGTACAGACATTTTTTGTCTATTTTATCTCTTATCGTCTTCAAATTAACTTGTGTCATGTACTTTTTAGTCACTTTGGGTTAACGAGATGTAGTTTGTCTTCAAACTGAACAATGAGCACTTACAATTCTGGTGTCAGTTGTTACACAGACGGTATTTGCTGCTCCATTCAGGAAATTCTCCATCTGAGGAGTCATTTCTGAGCTTTACTGTAACATCAAAGCAACATCAGGCAGATCAGCCAAACTCATGCACATTTGAATTTCTCATTTTCATCCTTTCATTATAAACTTCTTGAATATAACATTCCACACCTGGAATGAGCCTTTAGTATCTCCTGGTGTCTTTCTTTTTTTTTGAGGGTGATGGATTTCACAAGGTTCTGGAGAGGAGCAGAACTCCCATAATGGAGTTCATTCATCTAATTAATTAACTTTAAATGGGGGCTGGACTCGACGGACATCTGAGGAGACGTGCCTCTGCAGAGACACTGAAGAGAGCCCTTAAAAACAGCAATAACAGCCCTCAGTGGAAGCGAAAGAAGCCAGGATTTACACTCTGCATTCTCTGAAACAAACCTCTGAGCATGTGACCCACGAACACGCTGCACATCCAGTACGGTGGAATAAACCCGGGGCATCCTTTTCAGATAATCCCAAAAGAAAAAAAATCTTTCAGCGCTGTTGTATAAACTTTGGCTTCTGTTGGCAAGCATGACAAAGAAAATCTTGCAAAACCCCGAGACTTCTTTATGGCATCATGAGCAGATGTCAAGACAGAAGGGCTTCTATTCAGACTTTTTAAAAATCAAAACGTGTCTAAATTCCATGTTTTAAAGGAGAAACATTGTGGCGAGTGTTCAACTGATGCATTTGAGGGCTGATTCAAACTCAGTAGTGCTGCCTTAAAAATACTTGTATCCTATGATTTATCATTTAAAACTAAAGGCCCTGTATCTCATATTTGTGGCATATTATTTAACATTTACTCAATATTTAAACGAGTGTGAGACGTAAAGTGACTTCTTGCAAAATGGTGCCACGTTTGGATGAAACGGCAGGTGTTTGGTGTGTAAATACATTTTAAATGTCATTCCTCAGTGCTGTCAGCTTATGAAGCCTTTTATGAAACGTGACAGAAGTGGAAAATGTGCTGTTTTCAAATATAAGAAGGTACTGATGGTTGAATTGTTGCTGTTAAAGTCCTGTTTTTGGAAAAGCTTTTTGAAAGTTCTCTACTCTTAAAGTATGTTACTGTGCTATTTATGTTCAGGAATAGGATTCTTTCTTAGGAGGAATAATTGAAAAGGAAGAAAAAGGTATGATGACCAATCAAACTTAACAGCTGAGGGATTACTGAGCGATGTGACCAGGTGATGTGCAGACTGTAAACAGAACAAGCTGATGGGTGTAAACTTGTTACAATTGAGTGAAGACAACAGAATAATGACAAATTCAATGGCTGGCTTTTATCACCATCTCCTGCCGCTTACATTTTATCTTTAATAAAAGCAGAAAGAAGTCCGAGCCCGTGCTCCTCAGATCATGATGTCAGAGTAAAAGACCTCATTAAAAGTCAGAGCTGGTCAAGCTCATTCGGGGCCCCTCTGACTGATTAGCGCTCGTTTAGCTTCGCCGGGACAAACTTCTCAGCACAGTGCTCTGCTGCAGCGTGATCAGCACTTCGCAGAAAACTCAACAAGGTTAAAGCCATTTTTCCCCAGGAACACTGCACCCGTGAGGTTCTCTAATCAATAATCCATTCACACGCTAACGGTTATTCATGGGTGCTTCTTTTTTTAGCCGTTTAAAGTTTGCCAACAATATAGATCACAATGGCACCATCCTGAAAGTACTTTTTGTTTATATTCTTCCTGAACTGCCTTGGTTGTTGAAATGAGTAAAACTTCTGTTAGAAACTGTGCAGTTTCATCAGTTTCAGATGGTTGCATATGCTTTTGTTGCCATCTTTCTTCCACATTACTTATTTAAATGTAAACTTGCTTCACATTACTCATTTGGAGTTTAGATACTCAACATGTTCACAGTTTGACAGACAGGTGAGATTATAAAGTTCCTTACATTGGTTGACCAGTTTTCTTCCATCTCCTTGCCTGTGTAGATCATATTTATTTAACATGTCATCTTTAATACCTCGTACTGTTGCATTTTAGTTTCAGTAGAACTGATGATCAAACCAAGAGTTGGTTACAAAAATCATTTTCATGTACACCAAACATTTTTATGAATAAACTTATATTTGTCAAAGAGTAATGAAACTAAAGACAATACAGCCTACCAAAGTGTCCCAAAATAGCAAGTTTGACTGCATAAAGGTTTTGCCTTTTTCTCTTTAAGCATTCAAAGTACCATATTTTTTGCCCTATAGGTTGCATTTTTGGTATAATTTGCATGTCCTGCGACTTATACGCCAATGTGACGCATTTATAGATTTTCCCCCATATTTATAAACCATTTTTTGGCTGAGATATGACCATTTTCATTCATTCTGACATTAAAAATATTGAACACTACCATTTTCCGCCGCTAGATGGCACTCGAGTAGAATGGCATGCCGTTGTATGCAATAGGAAAAAGTGGCTATTAATGGCACAATCGGCTTGCCATAATCTGCCACCTTCATCCAGCTCGCTTGGAGCAACCGTCAAATCGGCTTCATTTCGCTGCACAGTCTCGACGAAATGCAGCTAATTTGATCATTAAAGTGCATTTATTAAGACAAAGTTCAACTGAGACACACCTTTGCTATAATTTTGGGCAAACAAATAATTGTTTTTAAATGTTAATCTCGTTATATTCATGTTAAAGCCCTCCCATGCACGATCCTGCAGCTGCGATTTGGCAGCCAATGGATTTTTGGCACGACACCGGCCCACATTCCCAGGTTGTCAGCGGTGATGCATAATAGATGCGACGTATAGGGCTAAGTGACTTAATTATGGATTTTTTTCCACTTTATTAGACATATTTGGACTGATGCGACTTATTGGGTGGTGCAACGTGTACAGCAAAAAATACAGTAGATTTTCTTGTCTTTTTGCCTCCAGTCACTTAAAATAGTTAAACCAACACTATCATCAAAGTCTAATGGCTCAGAAAGTCATTAATGGATTGATTAAATGTTGAACTTGTCCTTTAAAAGCTGAAGCTTCTGCATCTTAGTGCTTTCAGGTCTACGTGATTAACACGAACACTAACACAGGTCTTTCATGACGTGCAATTTAGTCAAATATATACTTATCAGCATCCATTATACACAAAAAAATAAAATAGCTTTGATCTGTTTTGCTTGTATGACATTTAACCTTCATTGCTGGTTTGTGGAGGATTGACTGCTTTGTAAAAATAAATTTGATACAAAAGTTTTCTTCAAAACTTGGTACGTTTCTTGCATTCTTTTTAGAAACACTAACACTAATGAAATTTAGAATATACTACCTTAAAATGGCATTTAAAATGTAGATTTCAGCCTTTAATAATACATATTTTTTAAAAGTCTTTAATCTAGTTCTGCTACGGACTCTTCAAACCTGGCCAAAAATAAATACCAGTAAATAAAGACCTATTTTAGTCCAAAAGAAAGGAAAAACTTTTATTAATTTATGCTGAACAGGTTAAAAAAATAAAAAGCAAGGCTGCAATAAATTTATTGACCTTTATTTGCAGACCTCTTCTGCAAGGGAGGCCTGGGCCTGAAGGCAGCCTAACATGCATGTTTTTGGACTGTGGGAGGAAACAGAAGAAAATCCACGCAAATTCAAAAACATGCAAACGCCACACAGAAACACCCCATGTGCAACCTGGGGCTTGAACCCTGGACCTTCTTGCTGTGAGGTAACAGTGCTAACCACTAACCCAT